ACAGATTCTGCCTGGAAGCAAGAAGGGGGCGGGGGGGGGGGGGGAGGGAGGAGGCAGGGGAAGGGGGGAGAAATTTCCCAAACAGTGTATGCACATGTGAATAAAGGAATAAAAAAAAAATACACTTTTGATGTTGAGTGTGGTAGCACACAACTACAGTCCCAACTACTCAGGAGGTAGAGATTGGACCAGGGTTTGAGGCCAGCCTGGGCAAAAGTTAGCTAGACTGTATCTGAGAAACAAACCAGGTGTGGTGGTACTCGTGCCTATAATCCCCGCTACTTGGCAGGGGGAGGTAGAAGGCTTACATTCTGAGGCCAGCTAAGGCAAAAGCATAGGACCCTGTCTGAAAAATAAAACTAAAAACAACAAAACCCAAATTAGACCTTTAAATTCCATGTCTGGCATTTCTGCTTTCAGTTTCTTTAGATTTCATTATTGAAGAGTTATGTGGAATCGTAGTCTTGCTGTTTCATATTTCTTGTGTTTCTTTGTGGTGATAAGGACATCTGTGGAGACAAGATAACTCTTCCAGCTTTATTTGGGGGACTTCTTAGTGACCGGTCTTCTACTCAGCACCAGTCAGAGAAGAGGGGGAAAAAATAGCTAAAACAGTAACACTGTTCACGGTGGTTCCATAAGCAGTCTGAGGGCCATGATGGTCATGGGTCTGTTGTCAGTGTTAGGGCTGCATTCACTTTAGAAACTACCCTTCTTCGTGTACCCAGAGCCACAGTAGACCCAAGCGGTTTTGCATCCTGCAGGCCAGGCACCTTCCCACTTGCGCCAGACCCCTTGGCAAACACCCAAGCCTAAGGGTGTCTCCTGAGTGAATAGGAAAGGAGGAGAAAGCAGACAGGACTGAGATCTGTGCTGGAAGGAGACAATGGAGGGAACCCATTACTCTGTGTGATGGTCTTGGAACTTTCAGGCCCTGCCCAGTGGTAAATTGCTCTCTGGGAGGGAGGAAGCTGGGAAAACAGAGCAATCCACTGGGCCTGGTTTCAGAGCTCTCAGTCCAGCCTGGCAGCAAACCACACTCAGCAGGGAGGCAGCTCCAGAGGCTGAGTAGCCTGCTGGCTGTGGGCTTGGACTTGTGGCAGGACCGTGATCACTAAGCCCTTCACAGTCTAATCTCCGCACTGTCAAACCTGAAGAGTCCATGTCTGAACCCTCACTCTCCTCATGACTGCGCCTTGCGGCTGTGTCCCTTTAAGACACTGTAGGACCATCCCAAAGTCCCTGGCTTTCCTACTTGAAGTGTTCCTTGTTTCCAAGTCTCCAGAATAGCACTGTTTCAAGCAGTAGGCCCTCTCTCAAGTTGTTGCCTGGCTGCAGGTTTCTGAGGTATGGGGAAAAACACAATGGATTTCTTCTCTAATGCTGGCCTGCCACTCAGGAGTCACTGTCACACAAAGTCCCTACAGTGGATTTATGACTTATCTTGCCACTAGTCTGTTGTCACTAGGGCTACCTGGCTTACCTTGTGGGTTACCCCACACCCCAAAGCCAGGTTTGGAGCTACATCCTGTTTCCTACTTTTGTCTGCATTGCCTTTCTGTTTCTCTGTGCCCTTCTAGCTGTCCTATTGCCTTTCATGATTCTTGATGAACATCCTCTCTGGGATATAGTCTGTCATTTGTTACCCTGATTCTTCTCATTATGGAGTCATACAAGGTGGCTTCTATTCTGCCAGCTTACCCCAGAAGTCATGTCTTTCCCTTTTGAACGCCAAGTAAGTTTTCTATAATAGCAGGAACAATTATAGCCCCTTTTTACATATATGTAAATGGAAAAGCATTTTTTGGTAGAATGAAAATGACTTCTGGTGGAAAGCAAAATTCCATCTTTGTAGAATGTCAGTTTTTATACTTCTCAAGCAGTAGCTCAGGCATGTTGCCAAAATTAACAACTCATATTAATGCTGCACTTACTCAGGGAATACTTATCTGGTACCTTCTGTTGTGAAACACAACAGCTCCTGCTAGCCAGGTGTAGTGATGCATGCCTGCAGTCCAACTTGGGCAACATAGCAACAAAACAAAATAGCTCCTATTCAAAAATTATCCAAACTCCCAAAATTGGAGAAATGAAGCCTATGTATTAAAACTAACGTTACAGGAGAGTCAAGCACTTGTGAGTTCTTAAGTTCAGTTTAGACTGACTCACAAATTACTTACTGTATGCCACATTTTTTCCCAACATGTTCTTATTTATAATGGTAACCCAATAAGGTTTTCAATTTACAAGTGAAGCTGAAGGTTAGAGGTTAAGTATTTGCCTAAAACTACTTACATCCTGAGGTTCCAAAGCCATTTTCTCTTCATTTTTGTTTTGCTAGAAAGCAGATAGTCTTTAGAACTTTAGCGAGAAATGACCCAAACATTGTATGCACATATGAATAAAAGAAGCAAAAAAAAGAACTTTAGCATTCGGATTTGTGGGATTTAATGTAGGTGCTACAAATATCTCTACAAACCTAAATAGCCTTCAGATCATGACATAGTTTTTGACTTTCCCTGTAACACGTTGAAAAAAGTTAAGATTCCGTTACTTCTATGCTTTTAAAATAGAAGCAATATGTAATTTATTCTAGGATAACTTATGTTGAAATTATCACTACTCTTACGTTTCACTAGTTATTTAAAAAATAAGATAAAATGTGACCAAATTCTTTTAAAGAAGCTGTGTTACAAGAAGATATAAAACATTTTGCAATTTGAATGTGGTCTGTCTAAAGAATCTCCTCTGTCTCTACCCATCTGCCTTCTCATGGATGCTTACTGTCTATTTCATCTGGCTTTTTTCACCTGGCATAATTTTTTTTGAGTTGAATCCATGTTGTAGCATGCATTGGCAGTTTGTTCCTTTATATTGCTAACTAATGCAGTGTGCACACATACTTCATTTATTAATTCTTCAGTTGATAATTAGATTGTTTCTACTTTGGGGTTACTTTGAATAATGCTACTGTGAACATTTATATATAATTCTTTGTATGAAAATGTTTAAATTTATTTTAAATAGCTACTTAGAGGAATTCTCCTGCTGTGTTTTGTCTTGAAGAAACTTAAAAACTTGTCAAAATGTTTTCCAAATGGCTACCCCATTTTACATTCCCACTAGGAGCACATGAGGGTTTCCAGTTCTCTACATCCTGGTCAGTGCTTTCTCATTGTAAACATTCTGATGAGTATGAAGCTGTGCCTTCTGGCTCTTTAGTCTGCATTTCCCTAGTGATGTTGAACGTTCTCTATGAGTGCAAGTTTTATGTTTCATTTATTTATTTATTTGGTAAAATGTGTATTTAATTGTTTTGGCAGTTTTTAAGTTGGATTTTTGCCAGATTTTATGGATTTTTATATGAGTTTATGATATTCTGTAAACAAATCTCTTATGAGAAATAGGATTTGCGAAAATTTCTCCTACTCTTCATTTTCTTAATGGTGTCTTTGAAAATAACAAAACTTTTAGTGGATAATTCCAATTTGTCAATTTTTTCTTATGTGATTCATGCTGTTGGTACTGTATCTAAGGAACTTTTTGTCTAAAAGTCATAATGAAGAGTTTCTCTTAATTTTTCTTTATGTTTTATAGTGTTCTTACAGTTAGTTATTTGTGCATTTTGAGATAATTTTTGTATGTAATGTAGTTCCCCTTTATCCCTTTCTCTTTCCTTGGTTTCAGTTACAGTCAACCTTAGAGAGTATTAAGTGGAAAATTACAGAAATAAACGATCACCCCAGAACTGCCAAAAGAAGAGAAATAGTTAGAGTATATTATTATAAATCTATATTGTTGTTAAATCTGACTGTGCCTGCTTTATAAATAAACTATCATAAGTACGTATGAGTAGGAAAATATAGGTGTCAGTGCTATCTGGGGTTTTAGGTGCTGTTGTAGTGTGAGATAAAGATCTAAATTCATCTTTTGCAATACTCAATCACCTCATTTTCTTTTGACAGAATTTTTCCCCATAATCATTCTGTTATGTGTTTATGTTCAACTGAATTATATTTAAGACAAGAAGATGAAGATAGAACTTGGGTGCCTCTTTTATCAGGACTTTTTCTCTATTAACAGTTTTTCACTGAAGACCTTTAAAGTATATGTTATCTGATAAATAGAGATTGATGTCTCAATATATTGATCTGTATTTGCTTATGTAATACTTTAATATTTTGTAGAATGAATAAATATAGAATGTATGTTAGGAGAGCATGATGACTTAAAGTTGAACATGAGATGTAATTTTGTAGACTTCCATGTTTGTTTGGATTCAATGGTCCTCTTCCTCATGAGTCACCATAGAAGGCCATCCGCCTCCACCCTGCCACTTGCCATTGTTCTAAACTTGAGTACATGGGATTGTCAACCATTCAAACTCAAACTCCAAAAGTAAAAATGATTTTATTTAGGGTCTTAGGGAATTACAATGCAGGAAAGACAGATTCAGATGCCTCTATAGTTAGTGTTTTGAAGAAGGCAAGGAAGGTGGGAGCTTATGGAAAACTTCTGTTGGAATTGAGTCCAGGTACTATGTATTGTGTTAGGGACCATGGGACCAACAGAAGATAAAGTCTGTGTATACTTGCTAAAAATGTCTGTAAAACAAGAGTCTGGTAACCTCTTGAGTTCATCATGGGTCTCTGGGTACAGTGTAAGTAATTATCCATTCTATGTGTCTGCAGTCAGAAGGCGACCAGAATTGATGCTCCTAGGCAGCAGCTGGAGTTCCATGTCCTGCTTCTAATGGCCTCTGAGTGCACTCCATTTTGCCAACCTCTTTCAGTGTTTTCATGTTTTTCCTTTACTTTTCATACTTCTCTTCCCATTGATATCAAAATAGTTAGACCTAGAGAAAAACAGAGTTTTCTTCATCTTAGAACCTGTTTTTAAAAAAAAATATGAAGGACAGCCAGTACAAGGTTTTTTGATTCTCTGATACAGGTACTCTTAAGTTTTCATATGGCAAAAAATTTTTTTCTTTTTCAAACTAGGCTCAACGAGAACCTTTGACAAGAGCACGAAGTGAAGAAATGGGGAGGATTGTACCAGGACTGCCATTAGGCTGGGCCAAGGTACAGGTCAAAATTAGAGAGTGAAAGAAAATTACTGTGTTCCTTAAAAAAAATACTTATTTTGATTATTCTACATCTTCTCTAGTGCTGCTGTTTCATTATAGGTCTGTCCTCTAATTACTACAGGGTTAAAATTCTCACTCCCCAACCTAGGTTATGCTGGGCATTCTGGCAGTGTCACTTAGAAATATTACTTTGGAAATTTAATTAAAGAAGTGACTGTCATCATTTCACCATTTTATTCAATTTATTTTTGCCTCAGTGTGTCACTCACTGGTAAAGTGCATGATTAGCATGTTCAAAGGCCCTAGACTCAATCCCTAGGACCAAAAAAAAATTTACTCCAAAAACAAATTTAGCAGTAGAATACTTTCCAATAATTTTTGTTTGTTTGTTTATATAATGGTCATTTTTGGGCTTTGACTTCTTTCTTCTTCTTTTTCATCTAAGTTTCTTGATCCAATCACTGGAACTTTTCGTTATTATCATTCACCTACCAACACTGTTCATATGTATCCACCGGAAATGGCTCCTTCGTCCGCACCTCCTTCCACCCCTCCGACTCATAAAGCCAAGCCCCAGATTTCTGCTGAGCGAGACCGGGAGCCATCCAAACTGAAGCGCTCCTACTCCTCCCCAGATATCACCCAGGCCATTCAGGAGGAAGAGAAGAGGAAGCCAGCACTAATTCCAGCAGTTAATCGGGAAAACAAGTAAGTTTATGTAAACTCCTACAAATAGAATAATGTGCTATCTTTTAAGACCTGTAGTCTGAATATACCACCATATTAAAGTCAGTTCTGGGCTTCTATGGCTCATGCCTGTAATACTAACTACTTTGAAGTCTGAGATTGGAAGGATCTCTGTTCGAGGCCAACACAGGCAAGTAGTTTTTTGTTTTTTTTCTTGTGCCCCCAGGCAAGTAGTTCTTGAGACCCCTCCATCTCCAAAATAACCAGAGCAAAATGAACTAGAGTTGTGGTGCAAGTGGTAGAACACCTGCTTTACAAATGTGAAATCCTGAGTTTGAACCCTAGTCCCACCATTAAAAATAACATTAAGAGAGTTAGAAATTTCTATGGATATCTATACCAGCCATATTATTTACCATGGAGAAAAATAGAAATAAGAAAATATCTTTGGTTTTTTCCTGAAATGCTAACTTAATATATTAGAGGATTATCCCAAGGTGTTTTGGTTTTGGTTTTTGAGACAGGATCTCATAGCCCAAGGTGGTCTTGAACTCATAATCCTCCTGCCTTCACCTCTCAAGTGATGGGATTACAGATGCTTGCCACGACGTCTGGCTCTATCCTAATTAATTATATCCACAAGTTTTTCATAGACTTCCCTTAGATCCCTTTGAGGACCATAATTTATAGAAGTTCCTATCTTTTTTTTCCCCTCAGCCAATTATGTGAGAGCAAATTTTTCTTGCATTGAAATAAGCACTACAGTGTATCTTCCTCTATGCCTTGTATTTCTGCTATTTTGTTCACAGGTAATGATCAGCAGGTTCATTTAAGTTTTCCAAAGTAGTATCTCATTTTGAGTATTTCTGGCTTTTGAAGTCCACCTACCACTTGTGATTTTCACATTTTTGGAAGGAAGAGGGAAATAAAAATACAGTGGACTTTCATATTCTCAGGTCCTGCATCTAGGACCTCAACCAACCATGGATCAAAAATATTTGGGAAAAAAATGTATTCATACTGAACATGTACAGACCTTTTGTCAGTATTAAAACAATATAACAACTATTTGCATATCATTTACATTGTATGATAACAGGTACTTAGTTGCAAGAGTTAATTAAATTCTTTCTTGCCTTTTCACCTTTCTTTGGAGTAGCTGGGCCTGATAAGGTGAACCCTCCAGAATCATGCCTAGGTAGAACTCCTGTTCTAGCCTTAGGTATTATAATTTAGAGGTGATTTAAAGTGGACAGGAGGATGTGCACTGGCTATATGGAAAGATGCCATTTTATATAAAGACTTGAGTATCCTTGAATATTGGTGTATCTGCAGTCTTAGATATTGAGAGTCAAATATATATATGTATATATACATATGTGTGTGTGTGTGTGTGTATATATATATATATATATATATATATACATATATATATGGTTTGTTTTTCCATTTACTACATACACTTTTGTTCATTACTAAGGAATTTTAATTAGCCTCGTCTTTTTGGACACAAAAAGTAACATATCCCAAGGAAGTAGTTGATATTTTTTTTCTTCCTGAGAACTTGCCTTGTCAAATACAGCTTTTTAAAATTCTGTTAGATACATAGCTGCAGATGTTAGAGGTTAATTCATTACAGTCACTGGTGAACTTAATTCCCTCTTGAATCATCATTCTCATTAAAGTTTATTAATTTGGCAGGGCTTTTATTGTGAAACTGGGGTTTGAACTTAGCTTCATGCTTGCAAAGCAAGTGCTCTGCTGCTTGAGCCACACTTTCAGTCCATTTTTGCTCTGTTTATTTTGGAGATGGAGTCTCACAAACTATTTGCCTGGGCTCGCCTCAGACCTCCCAATCAGCTAAGAGTACATGCATGAGCCACCAGCGTCTGACATTAACAGTGTTTTAGAGACTGTCTCACGTTTTTAAATATGTTTTCAAAAGAGAAAGAGCATGTATGTGTGCACCTGAGCACATGTAAAGAAAAGTAACTCAATCATAGTTTGCTCTGTGGTTGACATTCCCCTTAGGAGTAGAAGGATGCTAGGGACCGACAAGAAAAGAAAAAGATGTATCAGTTAAGAATTTCCTTAATGCTACAGTAGTTTGGTAGTTCCACATATAAATCACATACACTAAATAACAAAACTATAGGAGGTTTCTCTAATCCAGTCTGGTTCAGGAGATCCTTCTGTGTTTATGGAAATGTTCTCTCTTATAAGTGCTGTCCAACATGGTTTGTAGTTATTTTGAAATGTGGTCATTGCAATTGAGGAACTGAATTTTGATTTTTAATTCACTTAAATTTGACCAGCACACCTATGTCTTAGTGAGCACAGGTAATTATACCCAAATAATCTCTGCCTTCTTTGATATCTGCTCCACAGTAATACCTGTTTTTGATTCTTTGATTTTTTGGCTGAGTTCAAGTCTGGGGTCATTTATAGAAGTTGGAAAGTGCCTTCTTTCCCTTGAGCTCCTCGTTTGTGAGAAGCTACAGCTTCTGTCTCAGATTGTTTCCAGAACCAGGGCCCTACATAGGAAGATAAAGGTCATAGGAGCACCCAGTGCTAACTAATTTGCTGCATGTCCTGTAAGACCCAGCACCTTTTCAATATTTTATCCGTGCACAAGATTCCTGTGGTGGAGATGCTAGAGTTTGCTGCCATTTGTAGTGTAAGCCTCAGTTTCAGGTACTCTGCATTCTAAGACCTCTTGCATCTTCTCTCTTCCTTAGGCCAACATGCTACCCCAAAGCTGAGATCTCCAGACTTTCTGCTTCACAGATTCGGAACCTCAATCCTGTTTTTGGAGGATCTGGACCAGCTCTTACTGGTCTTCGTAATTTAGGAAATACTTGTTACATGAACTCAATTCTACAATGCCTATGTAATGCTCCACATTTGGCTGATTACTTCAATAGGAACTGTTACCAGGATGATATAAACAGGTAATAGAGGTCTTTTGCAATACACTGTTAAAAGGATAATCTAACCCTACATACTATCTTAGTCCATTTTGTGCTGCTATAACATAGTACCTGAGACTGGTTAATTTATAAAGAGCAGAAATTTATTTTATCATAGTTATGGAGACAGGAGTCCAAGATGAAGTTGACAACATGTGGTCCTGACCTCTCCATTGCATCTTCATGTAGCAGAAGGTGAAGGGCAAGAGAGGATAAACTCCATCATGCCCTTTTCTAATGGAATCTAATTCCATTCATGAGATCAGAGCCCTCATGACTTAAATTACATCTTAAAGCAACACAAACCAAAGTTTGGAGGGGACACATTCAAATCATAACACTTGCTGCTCCACTCCAGAAAAGTAAAATTAGGAAGGGGGACTTCTACTCATAAAAATATAATATTGAGAAAAGTCAACTCTGATAGTAAAGGACAGACAGGAGGAGGGTAGTGCAAGAAGGCAGAACCTGGGCTGGTGGAGTGGCTTAAGTGGTAAAGCACCTACAGCCAAAAAAATAAAGCAGCACAATGGAGAACTGTAAGCAAAGTAAGGTTCAGATGAGTATTTAATAATAAACCTGCAAGTAAATAAGAATCTTAGTAAGGGCTATAGTATGTGAATAATGCTGACATCAGGAACCCTCTGTACCTTTGAAGTATTTTTTTCTTTATTTGTAACTTCATTTGCACAGGTCAAATTTGCTGGGGCATAAAGGTGAAGTGGCAGAAGAATTCGGTATAATCATGAAAGCTCTATGGACAGGACAGTACAGGTACATCAGTCCAAAAGACTTTAAAGTCACCATTGGAAAGATTAATGACCAGTTTGCAGGATACAGCCAGCAAGATTCACAAGAATTGCTTCTGTTCCTCATGGATGGTCTCCATGAAGATCTAAATAAAGTAAGCGATTTTTTTTTTTTTTTAAGTCACAAAAAAAGTTAGGGTTGCTTGGTAGCACTGGTATCACTTTTATAGCAATTTAAAATTCTCCTTGGTGATTGTTCAGTGGTAGTTTATTCAAATATAGTGACTGTGGATCAAGGCATGGAATTATAATAAAAGTATAGGGTGAGTACCCCTTATCTGAATGCTTGTGGACCAGAAGTGTGGGTTTCAGATTTTGAAGGGGATTGTGTTTCACATATATCTTATCCATAGAGTCTCAAGTTAATTTTGAGTAATTTTAAAGAATTTTTATTTTATTTCATGATGTGCCATTTTCCACTTGTGGTGTCACATCAGTACTCAAAAAGTTCTGATTTTGATTTTCAGATTAAAGATATTCAACCTTACTGAAAAGAAGCATACGCAGTTACTTACTTAAGCATTAATAGATACTGCTGAGTGATCTGCATGTGTTCAGATACTTATGACCCACATATGTATGAAAGTAAAATCATGACCATGACTTTTTAAAATTCTTTTTTTTTTGGTGGGACAGGGGTTTGAATTCAGGGCTTTGAGTTTACAAAGCAGACATGCTACCACTTGAGCCACACCTGCAGTCCATTTTGCTCTGGTTATTTTGGAGATGGGTCTCCTGAACTGTTTTTCTGGGCTGGCCTTGGAACTATGATCTAACAAATTTTTCAGCCTCCTGGGTAGCTAGGGTTGCAGGTGCAGGCCACCAGCACCCAACTATCACATGATTTTGTTAAAAAATTGGCTATAGATAGTCTGAACATATTTATTGTGTGTCTGTATTACTGGACTATGCTGTTGGTGTACTTATTTTCTAAAATAAGAATTGCTGATTCACATAGTTTTTAACTGAAGCACATCTGTCTCTATTTGTAGAAATAGCTTCTTTTCAGCACTTTTTTCAGCTATCTTTGGGATCACCATTCTTACCACTGAACACACACACACACACACACACACACACACACAGACATACATAAATTTATTTTTAAAATTTTACTATTTGTGAAAAAAACTACAAGGCAGAATTCATAAGTAAACATTTCTATTTAAAGCTGGAAAATGATTGTAGCTTCTAATAATATAGTCATGCACATGCCAGTAACACACATACATATACATTCAAAAATGCAAACTGCACGTAGTGGCGTACACCTGTAATCCTAGCACTTGGGAGGCTGAAGCTGCAGGATCACCAGTTAGAGGCTGCATAGCGAGACCCTGTCTCAAAAAAAAGGTATAGTGTATATACCTCCATTCATAAGCCCGAAACAATGACATCTTTCCAGCATCACTAATTCCTAGCTGTTTTCAAAACCAGATTTTTCAGTTTCTTTGATTTTGTTTTGGGATTGAACTCAGGGCCTTGCACTTGCAAGACAAATGCTTTACAACTTGAGCCACACCTCAGTCCTTTTTAGTTTGTTTTCCAGATAGGGTCTCTCACTTTTGCCCAGGCCAGCCTGAGACCACAATTCTTCTACCTCCACCTCCTGCATAGCTGGGATTACAGGTGTGAGCCACCATGCCCACCCTGACTTTGCAGCTTTTTAGATAAAAATATATTAAATTTAATAAGATACATCCTTTTGATAAAGTAGGTGTTTTGGTTTTGTCTAGAACTATTTGTGTATAGTGCTTTAATGAAGTCAGAACTCCAAGTGTTTTTAAATCTGCAAAGTGTTTGTATTTAATTTTATTATTTTAGTTAAATGCTTAAATGTCATCTTTTAGGTATTAATATAGAATTTAAATAATCTTATTTCCAGGCTGATAATCGGAAGAGACACAAAGAAGAAAACAATGATCATCTTGATGACTTTAAAGCTGCAGAACACGCGTGGCAGAAACATAAGCAGCTCAACGAGTCCATTATTGTTGCACTGTTTCAGGGTCAGTTCAAATCCACAGTGCAGTGCCTCACCTGCCACAAAAAGTCTAGGACATTTGAGGCCTTTATGTATCTGTCTCTACCCCTAGCATCCACAAGTAAATGTACATTACAGGTAAGTTTAAGATGTAGAAAATAATACTATTTATATGCATTTAGAAATGTGCTTTATGCAGTTTATTTCTGATCACTACTCATAAACATTTTATGGAAAGAGTTAGAAGTTTTGTTTTGTTTTTTGGCAGTGCTGGGCATTGAACCCTGCTTTGTACATTCTAATAAGCAAGTGCTCTGTGACTGACAAGCATCCTCAGCCCTTGGTATTTTTGAGACAGGGTCTCACTATGTAACTCCTGCCTCTCAAATGCTGGGATTATAGGTGTGCACCATGCCAAGCTACCAGTTTTCCTGTTTTAAAGGTATATTCCTATCCAGCCTGGTAAATCAGGGCTATTGTCGTTTGTCTGTTTTGGAGGTACAGGGCCTCACACTTGCTAGGCAGGCACTCTTCACTTGAGCCGCTCTGCCAACCCAAAAGGTTCATTTGGAAAGTTGGATGTTGGCTTTTTTTGCTTTCCCTAGAGATAACATATAAATGTGTTAGTAGCTTCCTGCAGCAAGGTAACGTGCCTACCTATTTGTTCTCATGACTCACCATACTTTTCCCCTCTCCCGTAGGTCATCCTCCCCATACTGTGCTGTGAATCCTGTTCATTGAGCCACATGCCTTGCTAGATCACAAACTTGTGTTCCAGGTTACTGACGTATGCCTGGTGCCTACAGAGTTACTTCTGATTGAGGAGGTGCTCTGATACTATGGAGAAATGAATTGCTGAGTGTTTGCTACTTATTTTTCTTCCAGGATTGCCTTAGATTATTTTCCAAAGAAGAAAAACTCACAGATAACAACAGGTTTTACTGCAGTCATTGCAGAGCTCGACGGGATTCTCTAAAAAAAATAGAAATCTGGAAGTTGCCACCTGTGCTTTTAGTGCATCTGAAACGGTAAAGCAGAAATTTTTTTCTACCTGTTCAGTAAAGTTTAGATGGAGGAATTCTTAGTCCTGTGTAGTCTATACTTACTGTGCTGCCTGCTAGGGTAGCAGAACAAAGGAAGGCCATCTGATGAGGAAATAAGGCAGAAATATACCAGAATAACAATACCTCTATTTCACTTAATTCCATGTGACTTGGGTTCTAAAAAAAAAAAAACTAAATTATTTCAGATATTAAAAACTCAATTACATCAAGTGAAAATATCTAAAATAAATATCATATGATATTATAACAGACCACAATTGTGTGTTAAAAATGAAATACATGATTTGTAAGTGTAATTTTAAAGATAAAATGTTGATGATCCCATTACTAAGTGCAAATAGTTTTATCCAGATTTTTCTAACCAATGAAAAAGATGTGTTCCTATATAGATAGTAGAAGGATGATGGTGAAAGTTTTAAAACACATACCAAGTCTTTTGCTCTTAGTCTTTATGTATCCATCTGTGGAGTAACAACATCAAGACCTTTTTTTTTTTTCTTAAGACAGTCTCACTGTGTAGCCCAGGCTCACCAATAGTTCATGATCCTTCTGCCTCAGCCTCCTAAGAGCTGGAATTATAGCATATACCTACCACCTGGCCCAAGTTGATTTTTTTTAAAGGAAGTTTCTTAAATATAATTTTTGTTTCAAAAAAGCATTTCTACGTGTTATTGGAGATTTTTGGTTGCTTATGTTAATTTTAACATTGACAGTTCAGATTTTTCCTGTACAAATTTTTCTAACAAAAGTGTTTTATAAGGTGTCCCTTTTTCTTGAGGATTGTGGAGGCATACACATTCTACAAGTGAATATATATTTGTTCTATTAAAAGTCAATATTAAACATTGGTTTTGGAAGGTATCCAAAAATATATTTCAGAATTCAGTTTTTAAGAAATAATTGTGTGGCCGGGAATGGTAGAGTGCTTGCCTAGTAGGTGGGAGGACCTGGGTTTTTTGTTTTTTCTGAATCTTTTGTTGTTGTTCATTTATTCACATGTGCATACGTTGTTTGGGTCATTTCTCCACCCTGCCCCCTCCCCCTCCTTTACCCCCTCCCCTCAGTTCTAGGCAAGGACCTGGGTTTTATTTCCAATGCTGCAAAAAAGTGTTGGTATTAATGACTACTGTTATATTGATCCCAGGTTCTCCTGCAGTCTGTGTCTGATTCTGGTTTCCCTAGAAATACAGACTGAAATATACAGCACCTCTCCTCAGTGGTGATGAGTATTCTTTTGTGTTTTTAACTAGGGTTTGAACTCAGGGCCTCGCCCTTGCTAGGCAAGTACTCTACTGGTTGAGCCTCACCCTGATCCCTTTTTGCTTTAGTTTTTCACATAGGGTCTTGTACTTTTGTCCAGGCAGGCCTCTGACTATGATCCAACTACCTCCCTGGTAACTGGGATTACAGATGTGCACCATCATACCCAGCTTGTTTTTATGAGATAAGGTCTCACTAATTTTTGTCTGGGCTGGCCTCAAACTGCAGTCTCTACCTGGATTACAGGCATGAGCCACCACACCCAGCTGATTAGTGTTCTTAACAAGAGAGTTTTGTCTTCGTAGAAGACTCATCCAGTAGTTGTTGCTGGCCAAGGGATCAGGACCAGAGTATAGACCTACCTCTGTCATTCTAGATGTTTGACCTTGGATACATTTAGTGTCTGCACCCTAGTCTTCTCCTTGTAACATAGAGCAAATGTCTCGATAGGTCTTCCATCCAGCACTACTAAAACTCTACGTCTCTGTATTTGAAGCAAACTGTGGTCATGGCTAAAAATCTGAATGTTGAGTATGTATTCATTCTGCTGTCTTTCTCTGACTGTTAGTCCTGTGATGTTTGCTTCTGCAGTTTTTCCTATGATGGCAGATGGAAGCAAAAATTACAGACATCTGTGGACTTCCCACTTGAAAATCTTGACTTGTCACAGTATGTTATTGGTCCAAAGAACAGTTTGAAGAAATATAATCTGTTTTCTGTTTCAGTAAGTATCTCTTCAAACTGAAGGCTTTTTTGTTGCTTTTTTTTTTTTTTTTTTTTTTTGGTGGTACTGGGGTTTTAACTCAGGTATTCATGCTTGTAGTGCAGGTGCTTTACTACTTGAACCACCTCCAATTTGTTTTGCTCTGGTTATTTTGGAGATAGGGTCTTGAACTATTTGCCTGGGCTGGCCTTAAACTGCAATTCTCCCAATCTCAGCCTCCCAAGTAGCTAGGATTCCAGGCATTCATAGGCGAATATTGACATACTTTAAATAACAATCTAGTTTTCAGTGCTGTTCTATCTTGTTTGGCACAGAATCACTACGGTGGGCTGGATGGAGGCCACTACACTGCCTACTGTAAAAATGCAGCAAGACAGCGGTGGTTTAAGTTTGATGATCATGAAGTTTCTGATATCTCTGTTTCGTCTGTGAAGTCCTCGGCAGCTTATATCCTCTTTTATACTTCACTGGGACCACGAGCAACTGATGTAGCCACGTAAAGAGCTGTAGGCTGTGAGCTAGTTATGTTTAAACGTTCAGCAGCACAACTCTTGAAATGCTTCCAGAGGTGATGGGAAGCAGTGCTGGCTCTCAGAGGAATTGTAAGGCAGTGGAGCTGTGTTGTTAGCACCATATAGTTCAGGTCAGTGCTACTACAAAACTGACAGCATTTAACAAGTATCACAGCAAGCATCCCTTACAGGTACCATTTATGTCAAAACAACTTTTTTAGTCTGCTCCAAAGGAAAAATAATTAACTAGATCAATCCTTATTACTCTGCTGGTCTGAAAACCATGGTAACCTTCGTTTGCCTTTTCACATTTCTAATCCTAGCCTGATCTATGAATACTCTAGGATGACGTAAAGCAGGTAGAATGTATGTGTACATGTTTATTGCACACTTGCACATCAGATTGATGTACATAGTTTAACATGTGGTCCTTTTGTGAAGCCTAGAACTCAGAGGATTGCTTTTGTTTTGTTTCCTTTTGACCTATTCTGAGTAACTGCAGTGCTTTCATGGGGAAATGACAGGGCAAAGCTATTTTTCTGTTGGCTTTAGGCTGTATTTGTGCACTAAATCTTTATTCTAAAAAAAGAAACTTTCTTTAATTTTTTAAATGAGAATTTCATTTACATCTACATTAAAATCTTAATGAGAAAAAATAACTTAAAACCCTGTAAGTGTTCTGTCTTTAATGCTATATAATCAATACAAGATAGTAGAACCATAGATTTTATACATGCATACAACCTTTATTTCACCACCACTCATTCTATACTTATTTTACTTACCCTGTTGAATCAGGATTCACTTCCAGTTCTCCCTTAGCACCAGAACTGCATGTAGCCACTTAGGATTCTTAAGATTGAAAGTCAAAATAATGCCCAGACTTATGCCATATCATAAAGAATTCTTAAAACTACCTAAAGATATTACCATTAGTGAACTCTCAAGGAGAAGAGGAAAGCATGGGGTTTTGGATTGGTTACTGTTCATGTCCTGTAATGAATCAAAAAAGACAGATTGCTGTGTCAGATATTTTCAGATCACATTCTTAAGCTAATGGAGCCATGTGAACTTTTCGCCTTAGTGCTGGGTATTGAACTCAGGGCCTTACACATGTTCAGGAAGCTCTTTACCACTTGAGCTATACACCCACAACTATGAAAAAAAATTTTTAGCTCCATGAATTATCTTTGGAAAATTATTTGTTGACTATATGTAATTATGAGATTCATTATGATAGAAATCCACCCTAATAAACATTGGATTTTGAAACCTGAACTCTTTGCAATCTGCAGTGTGTAGAAGGCCCTCCATCAATTGGCACTGTATTATTTTCATGCTGCCTTTTCCAAAATGAGCCATGACCCATCACCCATCATCTCTTATATACAAGATGTAACAATATTAGCAATGCAAGTAAGTTGTAAAGAGTTTAATGACAAAGCAAAACCTTTCTGATTGCATGTTTTGCAATTTCAGGCAACAGTTTTCCTAGCTCTTGCATTTCTGTATCGGTGTAGAAAAGGACTGGCAGCTATAGAACAGGAGATAGGCTGTAGAGGTTTGAACTGAAGTGTCTGGAATCTCACTGACTCGTGTGTCATCAAAGCTGTACCAGGCCTGGGTTACAGAGTTCTTGCAGAAAGCAGTGTAGTGGCCACCATCCAGATCACCAAAGTGGTTCTAAGGGAGGAAGGAATGTCAGACTTAGCACTCACATGAGAATGCGCTAACTACTGGAATAAGAGAGAGGACCAAGATGACAGCTTTTAAAATTGTCCCTTATGCTACATTAAAAGGAAATGATTTTGTTAAATCATTATATATATATATATGGCCTGACTGCTGTTTTATTTTTCGTTTCATTGGAACTACTTACATGTTGTGCCCATGGACTATTTTAACAGAATGTGTGAATGAAGTAGGACCATATTTGGTAGCATTTGATTAATGTTTATCAATTAATACTTTGGGATCACGTACTGTATATTGACTATTAAAACATTGTAGGAAATTTTAAGTAAGGTAAGTAAGCTTTCCCAACTAAACTTACAGTTTAATTCTAAGGATGAGCTAAGACATTTAACATTGGAATATGATGTTTGCATATTGCTATAGCACAATTTGAGGGAGGTGTGCATCAACACTCCCCCCCACCCCCGCCAGTCACCTAGGGTCCAGAAAGGAACCTATCCTTTTACCTGTCTTTCCTGAGCCAGGAAAGGTTTGCTTGAAATAAAGACATTGGGCAACTTCATTCAAGAACATGGTGTGGGACAGGGGTCAGCAAACCGTGGCCCATGGCCAAGTCCAGCACACTGCCTGTTTTTGCATCACTCGTTAATTAAGAACAGATTTTATATTTTTATATGGTTAACAAATCCAAAGAAGAGTATTTTGTCACATGTAATAATTATATGAAATCTAAATCTCAATGTTCTTAAATAAAGCTTTATGGGAACACAGCCATGCTCATTTGTTTATGTTTTCCCGGTAGTTCTTTAATGCTATAAGTAAAAGTGAGTAATTGGAACAGAAACTCTGTGGCCTGCAAGGCCTGAAATATTTACTATCTGTCTGGGCTTTTACAGAGTTTGTTTGCTGACCCCTGATGTAGAGGGAGAAAAAGAACTACTGTACAGTGACCTTAGAGAAATTATTTGACGTTGCCAAGCTTTAGTTCTGCAATCTGTGAACGTGGGGCAATGAAGCTTCACTGTTCCTCTCCAGCTATTACCAGGTATCCTATGTATTACAGAAGCAGGACAGAGGAGATAATTATACCTTCCCTTATATCTTCATCTTCTCCACCTCCCCCATGTGTCATAAAAACTATCCCAAAGCTTAGCTGGGCCTGGTGGCTGAAGCCTGTAATCCTAGTTACTTGGGAGGTAGAGATTGGGAGGATCAAGGTTTAAGGGCAGCCCAGGTGAAAAGTTCGCAAAACTACAACTCAACCAATAACAAGCTGAGCATGATGGTGCATACTTGTTATCCCAGCTATAGGTGGGAAGCATAAATAAGAGGATTTTGGTTCCACACTGACCTGGGCCTAAACAGAGCAAAGAGGGCTGGAGGCATGGCTCAAGTGGAAGAGCCCCTGCCTAGCAACCGTGAAGCCCTGAGTTCAGTCCCCTCTTCCCAGCAAAATATCTATCTATATCCCAAAGTTGACACTGAAAACACCCAGTTCTGGTCCTGATCTTTGCCATGTGACCTAAAGCTGACATCTTTCAAGCTCACTTATCTAAAAAATGGTGCCCCTGATAATATGATGTAATTTGAGGAAAACAAAACACCTGGTACACATGTAGTTCTCAGGTGAGGAAGCTATATTCTGAAATGATCAGGCCACAAATGGAGAATTCTGTGCAGTTGTGCTGCATTTTGTTTAACCAAAGTGATGGGAAGTGAAACATTTTTCTCGATTTCCATTTCCAGCACTTAGGGCAGACAGCTAGCTGAAAGTCTTACTATTATGAAAACATAAAGGATGCTGGATGAAACGTAGTACACAGCCTTTGAAACGTTAGCTGACTTGAGAGATAAACTAGAGTAATACCCAGAGGCCAAACAGATGAAATTAGATGTGTAATTCACACCATGGGACTGCCTGGGAGTAAGACAGTTCCTGGCATCTGTGACCAGAGTGCCCTGCAAGATGAGATGATGGATAGATACCTACACACAAAACTAGGACCCTTAAGGAGATTCATCTCCAATAAAGGATAACTGGGGAGAGGGGCATTCACCCTTAATGCTTGTGTTAGTTTGGACCATGGATGTAGAGAACAAAAGTCATTCCTCCCTTCCCTGAGTTTAGGATTCAAATTTGCCTTTATGGGCTGGGAATCCTGTGACTTTACAATGTAAAGAATTTCTGGGGTATTTAGCCAAAGAAAGGAAAACTTAAAAGTTACTGAAGACATCAAAGGAATCTAACTTCAAAACAGAACTTACAGAAATTAAAATACTTAAAAATTAAGTGGAGAGACTAATACATTGAATTAAAAAGAGAATAAATTATAAAAATGCTGCTGGGAAAATTACCATGAATGGAGTAGTGATGGAAAAACATGGCTTACAGGCATGGCAAATTGAAGAAAAGAACACCGGTGTATAGATCTAGTTCTACAAGGAAAAATAAGAGTACAGGAGCAAGGCATTATTAAAAGTGATAATGACTGACTATGGTTAGTGAAAGACATGAATCTTCACATTTAGGAAACAATCAACCAAGGATCAAAAAAAAAAATATTTTGCACAACAACAAAGAGAAATCTTAAAGGCAGCCAAAAAGAAAGAAAGATCATCTGAAAACAAAAATGACAATCTGTAGATAGAAGTTCTCTGTGGTAGTCATAGAAACCAGAAAAAATACATAGCTTCAAAATGACAAATGAAAATAAATCTAGAATTTAATTCTGATTGAATTATTTCAAGAATGAAAAAGAACTTTTTGGTAGGCATCATGGTGTACACCTATAATCTCAGCACTCCAGAGGCTGAGGCAGGCGTATCACAAGTTCAAGGCCAGCCTGGGCTATATAGCAAGACCCCATTTTTAAACATCGAAAACATGATAATGTCTCTTTTGGAAGTATGTAGAGGGCTGGTAGAATGGCTCAAAGGATAAGATCACATTCCTAGCAAGCCTAAGGCCCTGAGTTCAAACCCCAGAGCCAGGAAGAAAAAAGAAAAGATAAAAGGAATTATGTAGAGAAACAAGTTAGAACCAAAATGCAGAGGGACTGGAGACAGCATTCTCCAGTAAATTCACGTTGAATTTACTGCTCCCCACCCCCATCTCAAACCTTTGGTCAGTGGACTAACGGAGTCCACTGATGGAAGTGGGGAGTGGAGTTCAAGGGCTGCCTGGCACATGTAGATGGGCATATGGACGTGCAGCTTGCAAATACAGAACAATACATAGAGGGAGTGTAGTCTGGACATGTGGGTGGAATTTTAGCTACAGTGTCCTTTTATGTTAGGTGTTGAAGATGGGAAAATAAGAGAACACCACCTTGGGAGATAGTTAAATATCTCTTTCTAGACTATAAAGATTTGGTTGTCAACTTGATTGTGACAGAGGTGTTGAAGTGGGGAAATGAGAAAATGGGAATATATTTATATGTCTTATTTTTAGACAATAAGAATCTGTTTATTTTTCAACCTGATTAAAAATGCTATAAAACAACTGTAGTTCAGTGATCAGAATTACAATGTTCTAGGATCTTTCCATTTGTTTGGGAGAGGTATAAGAACTTGATTAACTTAGTTTTTAGGGTAATTGCTAAAGATTCAAAATCAAGAGAGTAAAAAAATCAGTCTGATTTTGTTAGTAGTTGAAATAGATAGAAATACACTAAACATAGCAAAGATTGACTGGATTTTAAAAGTTCAGTTCTGGCCACTAATAATGATGTTTAAAGCTTGGAAAAGGCTATATTTAAAGGGATTGGGAAATGCATTAGGTAGTGTCTACCAGAAGAAAGTGGCGACTAAAATGGACTTTTAAGATAAAGACGTTAGAAAGGGTCGCTTTGTAATGAAAAAGGTTTAGGTCAGCAAAAGGTTATAATTCTTACTATGCTCCTGATAGATTTGTAGATAGCTATAAGGAAATTCTGAGAGTTTTATCAAAACTTATTACATAACAAAGAATCTGGCTCCTCAAATAGAAACATAAGTCTCAACAAATGTTAAAAGTTAGGTGAATACAGACAATAGTTTTTTAGCACAATGTACTAAAAGTAGCAGTCAGTACAACTCCTTCCTCAATCCCCACACTTTTGGACATTAAAAAGCACTCTTACATAAAACTGCAAGAAATTATATCGTAAATTTTAAATACTTAGAAACAAACCAATGCAAATACTGTATCACTGGGATGCAGTGCTATCTAAGAAAGCTTAAGAGAATATGGTGTGGAAAGGGTGGTGGGTCAGTAATTAGCAATGGGCTGATGATTGTTGGTGCTACGTGATGGATGTGTGGGGGCTTATCACTCTGTCCTCTGTTGTGTGTTTGAATGTTTGTAATGAAAAAGGTGGTAGGCAGCAGAAGTGCTGTCTATAGAGACACATGTAGCTTTACATGCTTGTATTTGAATGAACAAACTAAATGAACTAAGTACGCAATTTAAAATATCAAAACAAAACAAACTCACAGAAACTGGAGTGATAATAAGAGGAATAGTTAATAAAATAGAAAGCAAAGAAAGGCAAGGCCTTGTTGGTCTTTTGAGAGGTCCTAAATAATTTGGACACCAACAGTAAGATTCATCAAGAGAAAAGACAATGATAAATAAAATTAGAAATGAAAAAAAGAGGTTTTAGCTATGGACCCAGCAGGAAATTTAAAAATCATTTTTAATACCCTGAAAAATTTACCAGCAAACTGAGAACTTACCAAACAAATAAGTGTCCAGAAAATGCTTAGCAAAAACCAAGAAAGGCCATGCCTGAATAGGCATATAAACATTAAGGAAATTGAATCAGTAAAGATCTCCCTTGGAACCAGGAACTTGAGAAGAGGTTAGTTTGAGAAGAACTAATTTAGAAGGTAACACACATGCACAGGAAATTAATGCGAGTAAACTCCCTGTACAGCTATCCTTACCTCAACCAGCAAAAATCCTTGCTCCTTCCTATTATTGCTTATACTCTCTCTTCAACAAAATTAGAGATAAGGGCAAAATAGGTTCTGCCTGGTAGCGAGGGGATGGGGCGGAGAAGGAGGGGGCGGGGGTGGGGGTAGAAATGACCCAAACATTGTATGCACATATGAATAAAAGAAAAAAAAAGATCTCTCTTGGAGAGAACACCAGGCCCAGACATTTTTACAAACCTTTGAGCAACTTTTTGTTCCAGACATGTAC